AGTGAGCGCGTTCGAACGACAAACGAATTTCATTTAATTAGCGAATCGACTGGTCGACGCGGCTCGGCTCGGCTCGGCCCGGCCCGGCGGAACTTTTCCTGCTGATTCGGTCGGATCGTTTTTCGCAAGACAGGAGGGATTTTTCCGCGGGAAATTCGCGCCGCGCCCGCCGGGAAACAAAGAGAGGAATAATCAGATCGATACTGAAAAATGAGATTCCGCTGTCGCGCGGGACACAATGTTCCCCGCGCGGAATACCTCGACGGGCCTCCATTGATGGCCAGTTCTCATTGGGATCCATAGTCCAGCGCTAAACAGCGTCGAAATCATCGTGACGGTCTAATCTCCGCTGATAAGTACATCATTATCGGCGGGCATCGCGATACGGTTTATACCTTTGTGCGGATTATAAAGCTTATTGTCAGAGGTACACGCATGGATCCATTAATAATCCCCACTCGATACAATTCATGTTTGCTAATGTGTCGATATCAATGGCCGCCGCCGCTCTGTCTAAAGTCCGCCGTGTATATTTGACGGTTCCGTGTTCCCATTAATTATTTCGCCGGGTCAGCCGATGATTGAATTACACCGGCGTCTTTGCAAAGCGATAATTACGATGACTCCGTCACGGACATTGGCTCGAATTAAATTTAATCAATCGTCGCTCTTTGACGCGTGGCATGATGCACGACGGTGAAAGAAATGCACGCGAAAAACGAGTCGGTGAACAGAATATAAAATGGAATCGCATAATTTTCTGTAACGCTCTTTCGAAGAACGCTCGAAACAAAAGTCCAGGTATTTACGATGTTTTATTTGTTCATTTATTTATTTGTTAACGGATGCAAACCCCCTTTGGCCGTAAGAAAGCATTCGATGTCTAAATTTAAAGGAACACATACGCAACAATTTATGTAAAAAAAGGCAGTATTTTGGTCACTGTCTAGTAGACCGGTCCCTCGATAAACTAAAAAGAAATCACGTCAATTAGTCCAGTATTAAAAAGGATATCGCGTTGCATAATGCGTACGAATACTATTGTCCGTCAGTGTACGTGCTCTCCGAAACAGTATTTCACCGGCGAGGACGTTTCGGAACAGGAGTATAAAGGATAATGAAATAATGGAAAGTGATGGAGCACGTGTTTGAATAGTGTGCAAGAAGAAAGACAGCCGGACGGGGAAGAGTTATAGCGGCGGGGGTTCGGAAGAATAGGGAACGGTAGTTCGATATTTAGTTTGATTCAGGGAGAGAGTCCGACGAATGGAGTGTACACGGCCAAAAAATTAATGAATTTATGAACATCGGAGCGGCGCTGGGGCTTCCGATTAAAATGAAAATGAACAGCCCGGCCGATCTTCCTCGTCGGGACGGAAAGATCTCGCCACGCGTTGGTGCGACAACTGCCCCCCTCCCCCTCGCCGACCCCGAGCCCCGCGCTCCTCGAATCGGGGTACAAGCCTCGGTCCATGAATAATTTCAACGAGATTTTTATCGCCGTTGTAAACTCCCGGCCTCGCGTCCGACGGCTCCTAGGGGCGCGTAACAGAAATTTATCACGCTCGTTAAGCGTGGAAAAACTTTCGAAGGAAAGTTCCGCGACGTAATTGCTCCGGGGTAGTCTCGAAGCGTTTCTGAAACAAACGCGGCTGCGGGGTCACTCGAACCGTCGTCGAACAGACCGAGGGGAAAGCCGATTCCATGCGTGACCGGCACCCGGAATTGCCCTCCAAGTATTATTCCACGGGCTTCCGAACTTTCGCCAAGTGTTCCCCGCCGGTCTTACTTTGCCGTTATTATTTCGGGAAGCGGCCCGGCCCGGACCGGTCCGTACTCCGTGCTATCTTGAAAGGCGCTCGCTCGATTACGCTGGATCGCTTCTTATCAGCGCGGAACGAGACAGACAAGGTGTCCAGAATGGAAGCAGACAACTCGCTTAATCTGTCAGCGCTCGGTTCAGCTGGAAGCGCCGCGAGACTCTCATGAAATAATGCTGTACAGTCGGCGTGACGTGACAAGCGCCTCCTGTTTTCACGAACCCTGCAACTTCTGCCGCTGTCTGACCATGCTTTCTACTACCACTTGCTCCAGGCAGTCGATGAATAAGTTACGGCCCGCGGTAATAAAGTATCGCTGCTGTGTCCGCATCGGAAACTGCATGCAAATGGAATGTTTTAGGGAGTCGCGATCAATCGTTTCCGAAGAGCTATACATTTCTTCGACGTTATGCATTTGTACTTTAGCGAAGCATTTGTAGAACTTCCAGCATTATCTACGACCCTTTTGTCGTTCGCCTTTTCCTGGATAACTTTCGCAACCGAACTGGTATTAGAAAAACTAGTATTTATTTATCATACTTAGTATTTATTTAGTATAGTAGTATATAGTAGTATAATATAGTAGTATAGTATAGTAGTAGTATCTGTCTCTTATACACATCTCTACTATATTATACTACTATATACTACTATACTACTACTATGCTAT